ATCCATCCATCCATCCATCCATTCATCCACCCATCCATCCACCCACCGCACCCATCCATCCATCTATCCATCCATCCATCCATCCATCCATCCATCCATCCATCCATCCATCCATCCATCTATTCATCCACCCACCCATCCATCCATTCATCCATCCATCCATCCTCCCATCCATCCATCCATCCATCCATCCATTCATTCATTCATTCATTCATTCATTCATCCATTCATCTATTCATTCATTCATCCATTCATCCATTCATTCATCTTCTCATTCACTCGTTCACACATGTAAAGGAGGGCCTGCTATGTGCCAGGCCTGTGATGAATGCTAGAGGTGGGCAAAGCGGCGCTCAGGCCCTGAGGGCGGTGGCCCTATCCACCTGGATCCGGCACTGGGACTGCGGGGCTCAGGGCCTCCCAGGGCTGCTCTCACAGTGTCTGTGAGGCTGCGTCCCACCCCAGTCCCACTAGGCCGGGGGTGGTCTTTATGAGAACGTGGAGGCTGGAATGGCCGCTGTGGCCTGGGGCACAGACAGGCCAACTGACTGTGGAGCTCGGGTCTGACAGCGGCTGTAGGGGGCGAGGGGGTCTGTGTGATTGTGTTGACATTGGGAGGGGAGGCCTCAGAGCAGGACTCCCCAGTCTCGTGGAGCTCATGGCCACCCTGGAGGACACAGAGCGGGGATCCCCATGCTGTCAGGGCAGGTAGTATTGTGTCCAAGGTCACCGGGCAAGTTCTCGTGGACTTTCGGAGACGAGAGTCCACGTGGCCTGGCAGCAGCTTCTCAGTCCGGCCGAGGTTACCGCACGGAAAACGTGCCCTGAGACAGAGACCCCTCCCTGGGGTGGCTGAGAGCTTTGAGGGTGGAGCCTCTGGCTCCTCTATTTTCCCCTAAATATGTTTTTATTGACAGAGAGAGGAAGGGAGAGGGAGAGAGATAGAAACATCAGTGATGAGAGAGAAACATCATTGATCAGCTGCCTCCTGCACGCCCCACACTGGGGTCTGAGCCCGCAACCGGGCATGTGTCCTGACTGGGAATCGAACCGTGACCTCCTGGTTCATAGATCAATGCTCAACCACTGAGCCACACTGGCTGGACCCCCTGGCTCCTCTTAACCTTCTCTCTGCTCCTCTGGAGGGAGGCAGAATTCTCAGCCAGCCACACACAGGGCCTCCCTGTGTGCCGGAGCGTGGGGGTCAGGGGTCAGCAGAGGGCCCTGGGGCCGCCATGGGGCAACACAACACCCCTAACAGGAACCCGGTGTTAGTTTCCGGGGGCTGCAGACTGGGTGCCTTCCAACAGCAGAATCGTACCCTCCCCCAGTTCACGAGGCCAGAAGTCCAAGGTCAAAGTGCTGGCAGGGTTGGCTCCTCCTGGGGCTCCGAGGGGCACACCGTCCATGCCTCTCTCCCCGCTTCTGGTGGCTGCGGGCACTCAGTGCCCCGGGCTTGCAGCTGCCTCCCAACTGCCTCTTCCTCTGTCAGCTCACCCCGTTTTCTCCTATAAGGGTGCTAGGCATTGGATTTGGGGCCCACCCTAACCCAGGATGATCTCATCTTGAGATCCTTAACGAGCGACCTCTGTAAAGACCCTTTTCCCAAACAAGGTCACACTCACAGGGGACAGGAGTTAGGGCTTGAGTTATGTTTTGGGGGTCCTGAGGGGCTGTGTCCCCCTTCTCGCCACTCTGCCCCAGCCTCCCCAGCCTTCACCCACTCAGGCACTCACTCATTCAGCCCCTCCGCCTGGCCACCTGGCCACCCACCCGCTGTCTTCTCCTTTGTTTCAGGGGTGGCAGCGGCGGGAGGCCTCTGAAACAGGGGAGAAGGGAGCCTGGGAGAGCACAGATGGACAGACGGACGGATGGATGGAAGGAAAGAAGGGTGTCCTGAAGAGAAGACCTGCAGGGACCGGGAATGAGTGGCCATTGATCCCCCAATCCTCCTTGAACAGTGACCCCTGGCAGGACGAGGGGGGATCAGAGTCCCTTCCACTGTCCCAGAGCTGCCTTTCGGGGACACCAGAGCAGGGGAGGGTCAGGGGGCACAGCCTGTGGCATTGAGGCTGGACAGCAGGACTCCCACCAGAAGGCTGGGGAGGCCCACAAAGGACCGTCTCAGCAGAGAGCCTGTCATGGAGTTGGTGTCCCCATGGGACACAGCTTTTCCCAGGAGCCGTTCTTCTTAGGCTTGGCCTCAGGGTGGGGACCGCCAGTGGACAGCAGCAGATGCTCTCATTGACATTAAAGAGTGTAAGCAGCCAAGCTGGCGTGGCCCAGTGGTTGAGCATCGACCTATGGACCAGGAGGTCACGGTTCAATTCCTGGTCAGGGCACATGCCCAGGTTGCGGGCTTGATCCCCAGTGTGGGGCGTGCAGGAGGCAGCTGATCAGTGATTCTCTGTCATCATTGATGTTTCTCTCTCCTTCTCTCTCTCTCTCCCTTCCTCTCTGAAATCAATAAAAAACATATGTAAGTCACCATTAGTCATGCGTGCTTGGCGTGAGGGCCACCTAGACCCCTTGAGCTTTTTGGAAACACCTGGTATCCCGGCAACCTCCCCCTTTCTTCCTTTCCCTGCCTGGGGGTGGGCTTAGGTTCCTGATGAGTCTCCCCTGCACCCACGTCCGCCAAGCTCCCAGCCCACAGAGTTTTCACTGTCAGGGGCCAGGGTACATGGAGAAATGCTGAAAACCGCAGATTCTCTCTGAAGGTGGGACCACCTCCATGAGAAAGTTGGGGGGGTGGAGCCTCTAGGTCCAGGAAGGAGAAGAAGACGCCCAGAGGCAAGTGCTGAGATGACAGGCGTGTAGAGTGCCGTCACCAAGGGGCGCCATCGAGAGAGCAGGCAGGGGGCAAGCGCTCTCTGCATCGTGGGGACATTCAGGCTCCGTGCACCTGGGTGTGCAGGTGGACCTCGGGCCTCGGTCTTTTGGCATCACCTGCCACACTGTGGTGAGAAGCATTGTTTCTGCTTCTGCACAGATGCCAAGAAGGAGAGACAAAGACTAGCTGTAACGGAAGCTCGGTCTCGGGAAAACGAATGGCAGGAGACGGGGTGACTGATCTCGGGCTGTAGCCCCTCACTTAGCGCCGATCCGGTTATTAACGGTCCCGCTGACAATGGTGCCGTGTCCACTGCTGGGCTGAGGGCTGGCGCATGGCTGGCGAGGGCCAGGGCTCCCTGGGTGGTCCCTGGGACTGAGCCCCAAGCCCACTCTCCCCCACACCCTGTGTCCCCTGCAGTCAGCATCCTCCCTGGAGGCCAAGAGGAGCCCGATGATCTCATCCTAGAAGAGGTTGACCCTCACTGGGAGGAGGACCAGGCTCAGGATGGCAGCGCCAGCCCGCAGGGTGCAGCAGCGGTGGCGTCAGCTTACATGGAGGAGAATGAGGCCGAGGAAGAGATGTCCAGGTGGGAGCCAGGGGAGGCCCTGAGGAATGACTGGGAGGATAACAGGCACTTAGTACAGAACCTCGAGGATTTAAAAGGGCACAGAGGGTGTGCCAAGCCTGCCTCTCCCTCCCTCCTCCCCCCGGACACCCATCCCTTTCCCAGGTTCCTCTGTGCCATTCCAGGGACCATCTGAGCACATGCAAGCTTGGACCCCCTCCTTTTATTTTGATTTTTATTCACAAAGCATAGCATGCACCTACCTAGCTGCACTTTGCTATATTCATTTAGCAATCTATCTTGAGACCTTCCCACCTTCAGTACATAGAGATTGCTCACTCTTTTTATTTTTAAACAAATGCATCGGATTCCGTCATACGGATGTGCCAGCATTGATTTCACCTGTCTACTATTGATGGGCATTTAGGTTGATTCCAAAAATTTGTTATTATAAGTAATTCTGCAACAAACACCCTTGTGCATGCCCGTGCGTGCATCTGCAGGAGGTCTCAGGTCCTCAGCCCCGCGCCCCGCATTGTACAGAGGGGGAAACTGAGGCCCAGGGAGGATCAGGGGCTGAGACAGGCCCCTTGTGCCTTGTTGTTAGCGAGAGCCTGGGGCTCCTCAGGTGGGGGTTCCCGGGTTGCTTCTTGGTTGAGGGGTTCAGGTCTGATCTTAAGGGGTCACAGGACATCTTACTGAAAATTGGGGCAGGAGGTGGACTCGGGGTGCATCTTCAGGGAGGTTCACCTCTTGCCTCTGATCTCATTTCAGGGAGTTTTCCTGGATTCAAGAGGACAAAGAAGATGAGGAGGATGAAGAAGATGAGGAGGAGGAGGAGGAGCCTGAGTAAGGCGCTATGCCCTTGGCTAAGGAGTGGCCCAGGGAGGTGGGGCTACTAGGTGATAATCCTTCAGAGGCAGTGGGCCATATTGTAAAGGCCTTGAACTGAATTTCCTGGGAGCAATGGGGAGCCATTGCAGGTTTGTGAGCAGGGGAGGGGCATGATCTGGGCGGAGCGCTGTGGAGAGATTGAGGCAGGAGGAGCCTGTATTCCCATCAGGCCAGACTGAATGGGTCCCTTGGCTCCACCCCTGGCACTATTCCCAGTCACTCTGCCCTCCGTGGTACCCCCTGGCCCACATCCTTCCTCCCTGACCTGCCCCTCTGGCCGTAGCCTGGGGCAGGGTAGCCCATGAGTGTCAGGGGCACAGGCTCTGCTGCTTTTAGGGGCAAGGGCATCCCCTGCACAGAGCTGCTCCCCACACCCGTCAGGTGGGGGAGAACAGCAGCGCCCTGCAGGGTGGTCACGGGCCCGGCTGTGAGAATGGGGGGGGGGGTAGGATGTTCGAATCCCCAATGAGGGTCATTTTTAGTCCCTGCCAGGAAAGAGTTAAACCCTGAGGCCAGCATAGGAGCCTGCTCAGGGTCATCTACATTTAGTCTGCCCTTGCCCGGGTCGCATGTAATCTTTTCATCCTCGACCAGAGGCCACACAGCTGTTTGCTTCCCTCCAGTGATGGGGAGCTCACCACCTCACAGAGGCTGTGCATTCATTCCGTCCCCATGCACCCCTGGCTTTTGAAGTGATTTCTTCCACCAACACTAAGCGTGCTTCCTTAGGATTTCTGTCACCTGGTCCTAATTCTGCCCTCTGGGCCCCCGAGCCAGGCTGCTGTCACGGACAGGTGACCCCTGCGTGAGGACCTTTGAGGCTGCCAGCTGCCCTAGTGCAGCCTTGTTTGCCTTCTGCCTTCCACCTGCCTCTGTGTGGAGCACATAGTGGGGGAGTTGTTCCCCCATTAAACCTGCGCGCCCGACACTCAGGCCTGAAAACCTCTTTCTGTGCCATGGCTCCCGAGGGAAACAGCCCTTGAGGCCAGTGATCCAATGTGCTCACACACATCTACATGCGCTAACTACAGGTATTGTCATGCACACAGGTACATACACGTGTCTGCACTGTCACACACACCAGCACACAGGCACAGACACACAAGTCTGCATACATACACAGCACACGCATCACACTCACACATGTTCGCCCATGTGTGCTCAGGCACACATGTACACACTTGCAGATACCCGCACGGCACCCTGCACGCATGCTCATGCACACAGCACATGAATACAGTTACTCACAAACGCTGCAGCCGCATACACGCGCCTACACAAATGTTTACCCAGAGTTTCAAACTCAGGGAAGTTTCGGGCCCGGGGCCTCAGGCAGGGATGGGGGCTCTGTGGTGAGAGAGCGAGCGATCCCAGAGCTAGGGCCAGAGGGGTCTGCGTGGGCAAGCCGCTGGGCTGTCACCGGTGGGGGAAGGATGCTCCCGGCCAGCTTTGTGGAGGCACAGGGGTGACTGATGACGCTGGCAGATGGTCGCCTAGCGACCAGGTCTCTGCCGGCACCAGCTCGGCTCTTCCTAGCAACCACAGCCTTTTGGTCCCCACCTGGCCTCCCTGGGGGCGCTTCTGCAGAGTTGCCCGCACAATCTGATTAGAAGCAGGAAGAATTGGTGGCTCATCCGCCACCCGGGTCGCACTGGCTCCAGAGCCAGCCTGGCAGGCGCAGGCTCGCAGGCTCGCAGGCTCGGGCTGGTAGGCTGTCCAATTCTCCACTTGTTCGTGCTGCCTCGGGCCCTGGGATGAATGGCACCGCCCCCCGCTGAGCTCCTGCACCATGGCTGTCCTGGTCGGCAAAGCCGGTGAGACCCAAGTAGGTGGCTGCTTCTAAGGGCTCCCCCCTTCCTTCTTTTGGGGTTGGGGTGCTGTGAAGAGTCTGCAGAAGGCGACTGTGAGGACCTTAATTTGGGGGCACAGCCTGCTGGGTGACTTGGGGGAGGAGGGGGCTGGCAGACCCTGGCAGCTGGCTGCTGCTCTCCTGCACTTTACCTTTCACTTAGAGAGCAGGAGGGGGGGTGGCTCCTCTGG